ATGAAATGAATCAAATCCATGTGCCGTATCTACAAAACATCTTAATGGCTCATTTCCACCGAGCGGTACGGGACAGTAGTAAATAAAAGTAAATAAAGTCTAGTCTAGTAAATAAAAATGTGTTTAAGAGGTCCTTTATCCCAAATGCAATTAAAATCATTAATTCAGCAAGTGTTAAAGGCCATTTTCCACTCAGGTAGACAATAACGTTATACAATACAATTCAAGTAGCGATTGACGTCATTCTCGCGTGGAGAAGAAAGCATGACATTGTCTGTGTGTATGTGTGAAAATATCAAATTTTAAAATACACTGTTATATTTTTTTGTTTGCGCACTCTGACGTAAACAAACCCAACATGCATGAGCAGCATGGCAAAACTACGGTGGCCGAGAAGTGCAAAGCAAATCACAATTCTGAAAACAAAATAACAAATTACAAACACAAATGCAAGTCTAAAAAACAAAATAACAATTCACAAAGCACAACAACAATTCAGAAAACATTATAACAAGTCAGAAAACAATGACAAATCCGAGAACAAAATAACAAGTCAGAAAACACAACGGCAAATCAGACAAACCGGAAGATGTAGGTATAGTTTGAGACAGCGCCATTGGTTTGGGATTACTCACCGCTGACTGGACAAGACATCTGTCAATCAACGTATACTAGCGGTTGAACGACTTCTGATTTTTTTGAAGTCGACTTTTATGTGATGAAAGTCGAGTCGAAGTCGACTAGTCGCTGATGACGTCATTAAGTTTTTTTCCAAAAAACGAAAAACGAGAATTCAGCTTAAATTTTCATTTTTCCTTCATGGGTGGAAAAATTAATAAACAGTTTGAATATTTGATTTCTCCATGTGGGCGAGAATTAAACGCCCCTTTTTGCTGATTGGTCAGCCGAAGATCAAACCGTGCCGTCATCAGTTCTTCTGCAGTATCACGCAGCAGAGTAATAGTCCTCAGCTGCTGCAGTTGTACGGATTAATAACTCATTTTTATCAATTTCATATTTTTCTCATCAAACAGACTAATGAATAGCTCGTCTAATGACAGACTATTAAGTTCCCTCGATGGGGGAAAAATCCAAGTGAACATCAATTAGTACTCAATATTAATTTAAACTGCTTTAAATATGACTGCTGCTTATTTCCTGTGCACTTCTGCGCTTGACTGTATTCGCGTCTGTCTGCTTATTGAGTTTATTTAACCCATCGCAATTTCGCAACTTCGCAATGTCCTGCTCGGGCTTGCCAATTTAATGGCAGAGAATGGTGACTTTAGTTTTTTTTTTTTTTTTTTAAGCGGATACTTATGTTATAAAATAATCCTATGCATCTTGTGCCGTATATTCCAAGCATTCTGAAGGTATACTGAGGGTTTGGTGAGAAAAAAACGAAATGGCAAGTTATTATATTTTATGAAAATCTTGCGT